ACCTCTGTTGGACCACACCATCAATGGCATGCAGCGACTGCTTTGCAGCGAGAGCAGTGCGCAGTGGTTTTCGTTCCACTTCACGTGCATCACAGGGGCCTCGCCTTCGATGCCTCGACCCTTGACCACCATGACACGCATGACATGCAGCTACTGCTTAGATACTCGAGTAGCGCTCAGTGGTTTACGTGCCATTTCACGATCAGCCCGCGAGCCACGCTCGGAATTCCTGTCCAATACACATTTGATGTCTACCGATTCGGACATTCCAATTTCTAGCACGTCGACCGTCTCGGCCCAGTGCTCTCGCCAATAGCGCTTTGGTTTCCTAGCAGAGGTGGGTTCATGACTCGCCAGAGCTCCACCAGGAGACGTGCGCGTAGCGCCCAAGGTCTTTGACCTTTCGCCAATCCATGGCTCATGGTGTGCCTTAGCATTCAGCCGACTTCTCTCCGTTGTGGAGCCTCGAGCATAATTGCCCGACGCCCCAGAATCGATGAGGATCTTCCATGGCTTCTCGAAGCCCTTTACTGTCGCCTCTACGACCAGCAAGCCCGACATGTATACACCTTCCGTGTTCAAGAGTACGGAGTTCTTCGGGGCTGGGCCCTGTTGACCTATGCCTCCCTGAGGTTCAACAGAATTCAATTCTTCTCCAGTAGGTCGTCCCGCGCCTACCGACTGGTGTCGTTTCCCCGCGACGAACCAGACTGGTAGGTGTTGGGACGATGGTTCGAAGAACCTTGGCACGCCTTGCGCAGGGCGCAACCGTTCCGAAGGTGACGGGAGTCTCCACAGACAAAACACCGTCGTATCTTTGTGTGCTGCCCGGCAACTCGGAGCTCTGCTCCCTCGTCCTCAACATAGCTGAAATACATGGGCACCGACACGCTCGACGAGCTGTTGGAGTGTGCATTCCAACCAAATCGTGCCGACATAAAATTAAAATTCGGCAATCAATGCCACATTCACCACTTCTTCAAATGAAGACGGATGCAAACAGAAGACTCTCATTCTGGCCACGCTACTGTTGAGGCCTTTCATAAAGACAGTCACTGTGACCGCCTCCGGTAGGGGATCCGCTGCCATCCCAGCAACGAGAGTGCGCATCTCTTGGACAAAGTACACCA